AAGTTGAATCAGACGACACGGCATTGAATGTGAAGATAATGAATGCCATTCAATACATGCGATCATTAAAACGTCTGAATCTAAGCATCCTCTTGACTTATGCACCATATGAAGTGATCACCGATTGGACTCAATTGGAGCCATTGAATCGTTGGCCACAATTGACACACTTATCGATACATTTATGGGAATTTCCACAAGAAATGTGTGAACAGATTGTGTCCGCACAACACAGACTACAGACACTTGGTATGTATGGTTACGATGAGCTTATTATTGACAGCCAATTGTTGCGCTGTATCTCAAGACTATTATCGCTGGAAAAACTGCACATTTCATGCAACCAAAGATATAGATTCAAAAAATCGGATTTAAAACAAGTGGTAATTAAATGCCCAAAACTAAAAACAATATCGATCTTTAACTGGAGATACGGTTCCATCAGTTTTGATGGCAATGGCTTTCATGTTGAAAATGGCAGTCAATTGTCTCCCAAATGGTATCAATTCTGTGCTCGACTTAAAAGCATTTTTTAATTTGATTGAAAATTTAAGTTTTTGTCAACTATTTAACTAAAAGTGTAGTTTTTTAGTTTTTATTCACATATTTATGCATAAATTGAAGGAAACATTTACACAAAATTAAAACTATTAATTTATTTAAGTATTTTTTATTTTGATTGATTTGTTAAAAATTTATAAATTTCTTTAATTAAAACAAGTTTTATATATTTATTTATTTATTAAATTTCTAAACAAATTCATAATTTTTTAACAAATTGTAACGTATAGTGAATATTGAGGACTATTAGTTAAATGGTTACTAAAATATCTTAACTCTAATTGTCTTGAAATTCACTCAATTGTGATATGAATTGCCTTTCAATCGAAACCAAGACATTGAAGGCGTGTCTTATAATAATCGGTCAACAATTATATAGAAAATAACAGTGATTTGAGTGAAGAGATCAAAAAGTTTGAGAATTATATGAAATACATTTGCATTACTCTATCGACAACTTTGGATGATTTCATTACCGGTTATTACACTCGGAGTAGACTTACATATGGTTTATAATTTGTATCCCAATCCATGTCTCACACAAATGGGATTAAAGCCATTAACATATCATTATTTATCAGTAAATTTAGAAATAAATGGATTTTCAATAGATTTTTATGAATTAGTTTTTATTTTGTGACAAATTTTCTAAAATAAAATTTATTTCAAATTAAGAGTAAATATTTGGAAAAAATAAAGAAAATAATGGTATCGTTAGAGATAATAAAGAGGTCATCGTTGCAGTCAATATACGGACACAACTTCCAACTGATCCGCACTCTCACCAGTCTTTGCAGTCATCAAAGACATGGCCCACAATCAGGCGATCAGGCATTTGGACACCCATTGTCTTCATTTTGTCGTTCAGTTCTTCGGCGACGTCTGTCAACAAATCCAAACGAAACGCGCGGCTCTTATTGGCCAGTGTTGTGGTCACCAAATGGATCAGATCGTCGACTTCATTAGAATAGAGACTCAACCGATGGGCGGCGCCGGTGGCCAACAGATCCAGTGTCTGACGAGTAATTGGCATTGGGTTCCAAAGATGTTCGCCGATTATCAGGTGCTTTAGTTTCGGCAGTTTTGAGACCAAATCCATACACCGATAGACACAGTCATTACAGTTCGTATAGTCGTAGCCGTCCTCGCAATCCAAGTGATAACACATGTCGTTGAGTGACAGTCGGCGCACATTCGGCAACATTTGGGCCAAATTTGACCACCGATTCGGTGAACACATCAACCAATCCAACGATAGCGACCGCAACGACACCATTGACCCCATGTATGCGCTCATGGATTGGGTATCGAAACACATCTGTTCGTCAGATCCTCCTCTAAGTCTCAAATGCCGCAAATCCTTAAGTTTTGCGATACTTTGAGCCAAACTCTTGGCCGACGTGTTGCCCACCGCTATGTCTAAACTCTTCAGACCTCTGAGACGATCGCAAATCATCGCCAGCGAGCGGTTCCAGTAATTAACCACAAAATTACTGTCTTGTGAATTGATGGTCAGTCGCACCACTCGCTGGCATTTGTCAATGAGCTGATCCAATGTATTGGTGTCCTTCGATGTCATCGCCACTGATAATGACCGCATGTTTGCGGGCAAACAATTGGCCACCGATTGGATACTAATTAACTTTCTATAACTGATCCCAGGTTTAGATCCGAAGCGCCATATCTTCAGACTCCGAAGCGATGGTAAGTTACGGATAATATTCGCCAGAAATGTCCCGTATTTTGCGTCGATATAACCGAGCGATAGGTGTTTGACGTGAGATAATGATTGACACCATTGGTTGACAACTGTCTCATCGGTCGGGCCGTCGATATGGATGTCGTGTACGTAAAGTGCGTTCAGATCGACAAAGAGCTCAATTGTCTTAATGTTAACCACAATTCTCTGCAGATATAAAGTCTTTACGCCCGGGAATTGGCGGACAATACAGTCCAGAGACCCGACGCCTGAATCAAATGGATGCCAACCCTTGGCTACGAGTGCGTCAGTGATGTCAATGCGCTTCCAGTCGGCGACAGAGAAGTCTTCTTTGAATTGTCTCTCTTGTGAGTCATTCTTCAGAGCATTGAATCCAACGCTGAGTTCCCTCTTCTCCCGCAACACTCTCTGAACGCAACGATCAAACTGTTTGGACACCGGCTTTGAGGCAAACAATTGGTTGATATCTAAACCACTCAATACTATACACACGATGTCGTCATTCATTATGACATCACTTCTGCGGCAGTCATCGGATCCACTGTTTGTCACTTTTCTTCTCTTCATTGCAAACATTGCGACAAAACTTTGAAACTATTTGTGAATCAATTCAACAGTTGTTTAGGTTTTGAAACTTTGAGTGGAAAACAGTTTTTCACTTTTATTTGGAGTTCAGTTTTGTTTGCAGTTTTGAAAATGCATTCAAAGTATTGAAACCATTATTATTCGCGTGAATTATAAAAGTGTTTCCACAGAAAGTGTTACGCTTTTAAAGGCGGGGTTTAGTATCGGAGGGGTATTCACATTGAATCGCTATTAGAAGGTAGTATTTAAGGGGATTATGTTTTGGGCAGTTGTAACATACATTGTATGTGGGTTTTTGAAAAGGTTTGCAAAACTTTTGATGAAATGTAAAACTTTTTTCGCAAACTTACTGTAAAAGTGTATTAAAAATGCGTTAATTTTTCAGTTTTGAAAATTGGTTAACAATTTCGCTAATTTTGGTCTTAATTTTGGTATTTATTGCAAATTATTGTTATTTTTATTCATATAATTAATTAATTGTATATTTATTTTCAATTACTAAATAACGTGTAATTTTTAGCAATAATTAATCAAACGATTACTTTTGACTGTAAGTTAAAGACATGTTTTACAGTTAATTATAATTACATAAATAGTTATTTAAATTAATTAAACAAATAGTGATTTGATTTATAAATAACTTGAATTGAAATTTATTTTACAAATATTATAATTCATTTATTTTTTATGATTATTACTTGTTTCTCACGTTTATAAACGTTTATTGTATACAATAATTACTTAATTATTTGAATTTTATATAAAATCAGTTTAATTCAAGATATGGTCGAAAGTGTTGGACATTAAGTGATGTATCGATTCGACGATTGGAAGAAGAGTTTGGATCTAAAGAACTGGAAGAATGACAATACGATTAAAGCAAAAGTAAACCAATAATAAAATGAATGATTTTTACTATTATTTAAATGTCTTTTCATTAAATAAAGCCTAAAAACTATCCGAAAGACTCTTTCGATAGATTCGGTGATGATTTGGTCCGACTATTATTGTCTTACCATTCATTTGATGACCGAAACAATACAATTCAGAAGAGATGTCGTCACGAATGTGTGTCCAAACAGTTCCAGAGAGTGATTTACGACACAATCATTGATTTCTATATCGAAGACTCTGACATCTTTGACATTAAAGACACGGATATATCGGTGGATGAGTTGTGGCACAAATTGATAGCATTTGTGCAGAAGAAGTGTCCGAATATTCAAAGAGTGGTTTTCTTCCAAATATCAATCTTTTGTCTATCGAGAAACATGAGACCATTGTTTGCGGCCATCGATCAGTTGCGAAACAATTGGCCGGAACTGAAAACATTAGACATTGATATTTCTATGTTGTCCTGTAAATGTCAATTAGACCTTCAGGTTCTGCAGTATCTGTTTACCACATTCGGGTCAATGGTCACACATTTTGCATACTCTGGTCGCAGTCTATTACCAGATCTGAGCGATTGTCCAAATTTGTCTCATTTATCCATTCAAGACATTCAGTCGATATTTACCACCGAAGGAGACAATCAATTATTTGCATTCAATCGCCTGAAAGAAGTTACCTTTGAATACCTTTGGTTACCTTTGTATGATTTGGAACTAAATAACCAAAGTTTTCAAATATTTACCGATTATTATAAGACACGCCTTCAATGTCTGGTTATAACATTCATCGACGGATCCAATGAATCACAATCAATGGTCACTCAATTTATGACACAATTGACTCAATTCAGAGAACTTAAAGAATTGGGATTTCGATTCAGAAATGTAGAGTCATTTGAGTATTCAATCTGTGGTTACCTCAAGACAATTGGCATAAAGTGTGAGAAACTCAAGAAGTTTTCATTAGATTTCAGTTCAGACGACACGGCATTGAATATAGAGATACTGAATGCCATGAAATACATGTCGCGATTAAAACGTTTGGATTTAAATCTTTATGTACACAAACCAAAAGCTATTACCGATTGGACTCAATTGCAGCCATTGAATAGTTGGCCACAATTGACACACTTATCCATAGAGTTGTGGGACTTATCACAGGAAATGATTGAACACATTTTGTCCAATCAATTCAGACTACAGACACTGGACGTCATGGATAGCGACAACAATATTGACAGTCAATGGTTGCTCTGTATCTCAAGACTGTCATCACTGGAATCGATGGTTATCTATACCTTCGAAACACGAAACTTAAGATTCAAGAAATCAGATTTATTGACAATTTTTGAAAAGTGTTCTAAAATGAGATCAATTGAGATTTCCGGCCATCGGTTTAGTGGCGAAGACTTCGATGAACCAAATGATTGCAAGTTTGCCGATAAATAGCAGTCATTATTTGCTATTTTATGGTCTGATTTAAAATGAATAAATATTTCGTAAATGTTTTTGTAACAAATATTTATATTTTGACTGATTTTATTGTAAATCTAATTCATTTATATTGAATATTAGTTTACTTATGCATTTGTACTGTAATTTAGTTTTAGTCAATAAAACTCTCAAATCTGGCGCTTAAGCCATGCATTACTTATTGTGCTATTGATTGCCATAAATAACGTAATGAAAGGGTCTCTCAATTGCATGTGTTTTGCGCCAAAGTTTTAACCATTGATTGCATCAATCAATTGATCCATTGCTTCATATTTTGTGGACACCAGTGACTGAATAGGAAGACAGTACTGCCATGGATTCAATTGACGTTAAAATGTTTGCCACCAAAACCAAAGACATGAAAGTAGTGTTTGAAATGAGAGATGAGATCAATGTCTTGAGAGAGAGTCTCAAGACATCTGATCTCGTAATCGACAAACAATCCAAAGCTATCGAAAGGCTTACAGAAGCCGTGGAGTTGAATGTCGATCAGATCCCGACGTTTAAACCAATGCTTGGATTCATGAAAGACACCGAAGAATCGATACGACAATCAAAAGACATTTTGCGGACATTGAAGGCATCACTCGTTGTGACAAACCTCCAGAAAGTCGATGAACTGATCCGCGGACGGAGACAATGGCCGGCGACGAGTGAACAATGCGTTCAAATCGAAGAGGAATGCGAAGAGTCGGTGGATATGAGTGCGAAGTCTGAGCCAATGATTGACACAATCGGTGTCCAGAGTTTCGATGCCGAGGACGCGACGACCGTTAAGACTGAGTCTACAGCCGATTGTGTGGACAGCGATAGCGAAATGGTTGAGTCGGACAACTCGTGCGTAACCATCGACTCCGAGACCAGCGATTTCGAGACCGAAGTGACCGCAAACACATCCAACAGTAGCGGCCGTCAAACGCTGGGATCTGAGCGCAACATTTTGACCACAAATGAGACACCGATTGATGGCTCGATGGCGACAACGAGTGCCCACCAAATTGAGGGGCGAGTGGTGTCCACCTCTGGTAACCAAAACACAACACCGGTGTACGCGTGTCAGTGGTCTGAGTGCTCGTATAGGACCAGATATAGTCATCATATGAAGCGTCACATAAACTGCGTCCACAAGAAAGTGAAGCCTTACGTGTGCCAGAGCTCCGGCTGTCAGTATAGGACCGGTGATCCATCGCTTCTCAGACGACACCAACGCTGTCACCAAAAGGGTCCCAATTATAAACTCCATCCGCTTCCCATAGACATCGAGTCCAGCGATCGCGAGAGCGAAGTGACCGCAAACTCGGCCGGAGTCGGCCGGAGTCGGCACAAGCGGTAACGATAGCCGCTGTAATACACAGGAGGGCGGCGGCGGATCTGAGCGCAAGAATTTGGCAACCAATGGGACACAAATTAAGCGCTCGATGGCGACCACGAGTGCCCACCGAAGTGAACGTCCGCTGTATCGGCGAGAAACAGTGTCCGCCGGCCGTAAGCTATCACCAGAGAAACGGTACGCGTGTGAGCGCCCGGACTGCGCGTATGAGACCAGTCATCGGTGGGATTTGATTCGTCACATGAATCGGCACAACAATGTCAGGCCATACGCGTGCGATAGGTGTCCGTACAGGGCTGTCCATTCAGGGGCTCTCAATAACCACAAACGCCGGCACCAAAACAATCCCAATTTCCGACCCCATCCCCAATATTTCTCCCGTTTGGCCAAAGAGTGAAGTGTTGTCACAAAACTTGTAGTTTTATTCCTCCCGAGCGTCTTATCATAACTTAATGTTAATCTCATGTTTAATGTTATGTTAATTTGCAGTCCATTTATTTTAAAAACATTTAATCTCAATTTTAATTATAAAATAAATTACTAATAATTTGTTTGTAAAACTTTTTTAATATGATTAAATTAAAGTCGATTCTAAATCAAAATATCTATATTTATTTCAACGCTATCTGTATTTAAAACACGGCTCAGAATCGGAAACACAGAAAAATGATAAATTATATAAATTCATCGATAGATTTGCATAATATCTGTGAAATTCATAATAAAAATGAACACCAATTTTATCTCAAGTCTTTCGGACCTATTCTTAAGGAGACCTCAAATACAATCAAATCTCAATTAAGTTATACTTCAATTATACTGTTGTAACTCTAAATACCGTTTAAGTAAATAAATATATGTTTCCCTTTGAAGACTGCAATTAAATCAAAACATTATAGCTTAATTAACCAAATAGAAATTAATGTTATGTTATATTATTTACTTAATTTGATCTTTTTGTATCAGATTAGGCCGATTGGGATTAAATATTACAATTGCTGTTAACTGTAAACATAAGAATATATCAAAACTAAAAATGAATACATTATTATTAAGGCCCGGGAAAGTAGGCAAAATAGTGTTATGCATCACTCGAAGATAACTAAACTATTTTTGATCTTTTTATCTGTATCTCTATGTGTTGTTACATTACTAGCATAACGACCTTATGATAACGTGGATCAAAATTTTCATGCAGTATATGCAGTAGTTGTTAACATTTGGGCAAATTTTGTTCATTTCAATTAATGTTTTTTCATCAATAAGATTCGTTTTTTGTTTAAAACATTCTTAAAATTTGAGCCGTTTTAAAGTTAATTTTCATAAGACATGATCGCTTCACACAAAACACCTACTTGTATTCAAAATACACTAGATTTTGTCTATTATTTTACAAAATTAAGTAACGATATGACAATTGATTAGGATTATAAATTATAATAAGGTAAACCTTAATAACAATCTGCACACTCTGGACGATAACGGGTTTGTTTTGGTGGAAAACCGGGCAATAATGCAATACTTTATAATACAAATAAAAAGATCAAAAATACTTTAGTTATCTTCGAGTGATGCATAACACTATTTTGCCTATTTTCCCGGGCCTTAATTATTATATATAATCAAAATATAATTACCAAATCTATTAGATTCATGTCATTACTATACTCTTCATTAAGTTTATTCATAAAGGTCTTTTGAAAATCATAGATATTGTGGACACCCATTCTTAAAACATCAAATCTCAAAATCGCAGCATTTTCTGTAAACTAAAAAATCATAATAAAATATAAACTAAATAAATTGTTTCTAAGCATGTCACTTTTTTAAATTAATTATTACAATATTTTAATCTAAATTTAGTAAATAATAAAATAGATATAATTTTTCCCAATCAATTAGTCTATCAATTAAACTTTGTAATTATTATTTATAAAACTAAATAAGATATGTTATTAATATTTTAGTGCACTTCTATAGTAACATTGAAATAATTACGATTTTACTGTATAATCAAATAATTAATTATTATCATATTGAATAAATGTTAATTTAATAATGTAATATTATAATAGTTTTTATTGGCACTCATTTAGCTATTATCAAGATAGAATTATTGAACTAAAATTTTGTTAACAAATATTAATGGAATAAAATTATATTTTAATTAAAGTCAATTTTCTATAGTTACTTGAATACAATTAGAAGATTAATAAACATGTACTTTTGAAAAGTTGTTGTGTAGTTTTTATTCAATTATATAAATAATTATTACAATTATTTTATTCAATTATTACAAAAAAAACTTAATTTAATTTATCATTCATTTTATTAATAAATTCCATTCAATATAGAATATTGATTAAATACTTACAATATAATAATAATAATAATAATGCAATGATTGCTAAATAATATAATTACTTTTGCTACACTTTTGCAAAATTTACAATGTTAACATAATAATATTTATAAAGCAATTACAAGTAACGCAATTACAGGCAATGCAATACTTTAATTGTATTATTACAAATTAAAATCATTTAATCTGTAATACTTATATATATTATCAAATATATAATATTAAATATAACGAAATAGCATTTACAATTACAAATTGATTAAAGCCTATTTATTAAATTAAATATAATAATTTTGTTTTTCAAAATGTACTATAATTTTATCAATACATTTTGCATTGAATTAAATGAAAGCAATCGATACCAACATTTGTATCACTATTTAAACACAACGTGTTGTCTAATAATTACCGCATTTGTAAGCAATGTAAGTGTTATTTCAAATATTTTTTACATCAATTTATACATAATTAATATTTTAAATTACAGATTATTAAAACTTATAACAATATTTCTTTATATTGTGATGAAAATATACATTTACTTGATATAATTCAACGAAAATATAATAAAAAGTATTTATTAAATAGATGCTTAATATACAATTAATATACCAAATTAAATACTGTCTAATTAAATTCAAACAGAATACTAATCAATGTAAGTCCTAATAATAACTATGGTTTCTTATTACCAAATGGATCATGGACTGGTGCACTGGATCTAATCCATAAAAATGTTTGTTTATTATTAATATTAAATTAAATATATTAACCATGATTTATTTGTGACAGGAATCTGATCTTATTTTATCGACATTTATTAATAGCTTCAATAGAGATCTAGTGATAGACTTTCCACATTTGATTCCCTACTCGTCGTTACACTCAATCATAAGTACCGCTAAATACTACGAAAATTACAATATATTTAAAATATTAAATGTGTTTCAACTAAATGTTTGGATCGTTTTTATTGTCATGTATTTTGTTATTTGTTTCATAAATGGTCCGAAAACTAGTTTTGATTATTTTAGCCTATTTTTAGGCATCGGTTTGTTTTTGTGTTTTATTATTTCAAATTTAAAATAATCATTAATTGGTATTAATTAGGGATTCGTATAAAACGTTTTCATAAAAGATTACTAATAATTGTATGGATTATGGGATCAATGATTTTCATTGACTATTTTGAAAGTGATTTACGAGCGCTTGAAGTGTCGAAAAGTGCCGATAAAATAGAGTCAATACAACAGTTATATGAGAGACAAAACATCGAAATTATTGTTGTCAATAATTCATACCAAAATCGTTTTATTCAAAATGTATTTATTAAACATTTTTTACAAACTAAATCTTATAGAATTTATTAACAAGATTTTTTAACTTTTAAATTTCTAACTCTATATTCCTGCACATTTTTTACTGCATATTAATAGCAACATGTAACATTATTAAATCGTGTACATTATGTGGAATTCGGAGATATTTTCAAATTGGATACCTTATTAAATATCGTAGACAACAACATGGTATTAATTGCATCATACGATAGATTGGAAATATTGGCAAAACATTATGGTAACTACGAGTTAATAATCTCCGGCGATAAGAATGATATATATTTACATAGTTTTCCCATAAGAAAAACATTGGGTCCGGAAATTAAGCACAAATTTGGACAAATGTTTGTTTGAATTTTTAATGTTATAAAATTTTTATTCATTTACTGTAAAAATATTAATAAATATTATCTTATTATTTATAGATTAAATATTTTGTACGAATCGGGTATTAAAGATCATAAAACTTATAAAACTATATTGTTTTACATAATTATGGATTCATTGAGTGATAAACAAGTGGCGAATAAAAGAGGATT